ATTTTGAACTTTCTTACTTGAGCAGTAAGTACTATCACTAACCAACACAGGAAATTGAAATGGCAGATGTTTAGAAACAAATAATAGTTGGTTTGACTTGTTAAATTGAAAATGAAAATTGGGAATTCAGTTCTATACAGAGATCTGAAACTTCATCAGCAATTAGGTAGTACCTGAAGCTGTAGAACCAAGATTTCACAGAGCAAGTACGTGTAAAATGAGAAGATTAAATGACAAACCATGGGAAATAAAACTTCCAGGGAACATGAGGAAAAAGAAGAATGAAAGCAAAAAAAAAAAAAAAAAAGAGTCTAGGAAAGTTCAAGCTGGGAAAAACCAAGGAGAAGGGAATGGTTAAAATATTGCAGAGAGATGAGGTAGGAGGAGGAGACCAAAGAGATGTTAGATTTAGAATAAGGAAGTCATTAATGGATTTGCCAAAATAAATTTTAGAAGCATGATAGATAGTTCAGGTTATTTAGTGGGTTAAGAAATGATTGGATAAAATTTAACTAACAAATGGATCAGTATCCACAGTGTACTAAAACATAGAAATGAATGAGAAATGAAAATTAAGACACCATTAAGATACCATTTTATACTGATAAGATTGGCAGATTAATAATACCAAATGTTTGCATAGATATGAATCAATAGAAACGTATTGTCAGTGGTAGCATGAATTGGTAAAGCTTTGAAAAATAATGTTGGTATCATCTTGTAAAGTTGAATATTAATAGACCTCTGAGCCTTAGCAGTTCTGGTAGTGGGAGGCTTGCAGGGAAATTCTGCACATGTGCACGAGAGGCGCAATAGGTGTCTGTGGCAACATAGAGGAAGGAGGAAAGCAATTCAGAAGTCTGTCAGATAAAATTAGTAAGCAGATTGTGATACAGTCACAAATTGGTTTATTCTCAATATAAGAAATTACAGGGGCATTTAATAGCAGAAACAATAATAAAAAGTGAGACACAGCAATAACAGACCATATTTTTAAAAAATTATTTTTTAATGTTTATAAATTACTTAGAATATACCAGACATTTTCTGACTATACAAATATTCAAGTTTAATCACACACATAAAATGATTTTTTTAAATTCAAAGATAAGCAAATGTAAATTGTATATCGTGGGGGGATACAGGCTTGTGTTGGGGCAAAGGGGAATCTTGAGAATAGTGGTCACTTTTGGAAGGAAGGAGCATATAGGTAGATGGAACAGTACTGATAATATTCTGGTTCTTTTTTATAAAGCCATATTTTATTTAAACACATCAATTTAGAATAAACACTTGTTTTATTTTTGGTACCCGGTATTGAAGTCAGGGGCACACGACCACTGGGCCACATCCCCAGCCCTATCTTTATTTTATTTAGAGACAGGGTATCACTGCATTGCTTAGCTCCTCGCTATTTGCTGAGGCTGGCTTTGAACTCATGATCCTCTTGCCTCAGCCTCCTGCACCACTGGGATTGATTACAGGCATGTGCCATCACGCCCAGATAAACACTTTTGAAATAATCCTCACGTGCAGCAGTGGCTATTATCATCTGGATTTAGTGAAGAATGGTGAGACTTGGCCCATTAAGTGCCCTTCTACCTTGAAGCTGCCTTGGATGTCATCAGTAGGGAATGATTTGTGTGTGTGTGTGTGTGTGTGTGTGTGTGTGTGTGTGTGTTGCTACTGGGGATTGAACCCAGGGGCACTTTACCACTGAGCTACAGCGCCAGCCCATTTTTACTTTTTATTTTGAAACAGGATCTTACTAAGTTGCTGAGGGCCTTGCTAAATTGTTGAGGCTGGCCTCAAACTTGGATCCTCCTGGTGTGAATGACCTTTTTTTGCATAGAACTTTTGTGAATAAAACTTGGCTTTAATTTGTTTCGTGTTACTTTTAATGTATTACTACTACTACTACTACTACTACTACTACTACTGAGGATTAAACCCACGGGTGCTTGAGCCACTGAGCCACATCTCCAGCCTTTATTTATATGTATATATTTTTTAAATTTTTTTTTTAGATGCTGATGGACCTTTATGTTATTCATTATTTATATGTGGTACTGAGAATCAAACCCATTGCTTCACACATGCCAGGCTAGCACTCTACCACTGAGCCACAACTCCAGCCCCTTTTTTTTATATTTTATTTAAGATGATCTTGCTGAGTTGCTAAGTGCCTCACTACGTTTCTGAGGCTGGCTTTGAACTCAAGATCCTCCTGCCTCAGCCTCCCAAGCTACTGGGATTACAGGGGCCACTGCTCCCAGCCACTTTTAATGTATCTTTTACTGCTATTATTGAGGTACATGTGCTGACATCCTGTGTTATTTCCTTAAGGAACATTTTCGCTCTCCTTAGGGATGCTATGATTCTTAAATTGTAGTCTTTGACAAACATTAATGAATTGTTTTAAAGATAAATTCATGATTCTCTTACAAATGCCAAATCAATATGTGTCAAAACATTTTAAGTCATTAAATTTATAAGGGAATCAGGAAGATGAAACCATTTCAAGGGATGCTTCAAAGTTAATAGCACATGTAAAAGTTAGGAATGCTGAAATGAATTAACAAATAGTTGCAGAATTGGTCAGTATCCAAGGGCAATAGTCAGTTATATCCCACTGGACATAATTCATTGGCATTGTTTGGGTCAAGAATTTGTATTATTACTAAAAAAAAGAAAAGAAAAGAATTTGTATTATTACTGGGCTTCAGCAACATGTAGGGCCAAAATGATGCGCTGAACATAAGGGATACTTCGTAATCTTTTTTGCCCATTTCAAAGTTTTTCACAATTTTTTCTGACCCATGTAAACTTTGATGTGCATCAAATATTACATTAAAATAGAAAATAAAATAAATAAGTATGCTGTTCTGTATTTCTCTTTCAAGATGTTTGTTGAGGGTATATGGGAAGGTTCCTTTCTTGAGGATGGGACCAGATTTGAAGGAAGGGTTGCTTTGATTTTTGTTTTCTTAAACAGGAGAGAACTATGTATGTGTTGGCTCTCGGAAAGGAGCCAGAGAGGAGCAACTAAGAGCAGAGAGAGCAGTGGTATTTGGAAGGAGATAATAGTTATTCACATTCACATTCAAAATCTCAGTTCATATTTAAAAAGAAGACAAGGGGATTCTTCTCTGAGATTGGAGGAAGTCAGAAAGATCCAGGAAGTAGGTCATTTGAAGACATAGGGGAAAATAATATTTCCAGGTGACTTAAAACATTCTATAAAGAGTTACTCAGGGAAGATGAATGGTGCAAAGATGCCAACCTGTTATCTTGCATTAAATACCACCTGTAGTTAAAACATTAACCAGGATTTTCTAAGAGTGCAAGATAGAGCAGCTGGGGCTGGGCTCAGTGGCAGGGCACTTGCTTAGCGTCTGTGAGGCACTGGGTTCAATCCTTAGCACCACAAAAAAATGAAACAAATAAAGGCATGCTGTCCATCTACAACTACAAAAATTAAAAAGAGCAACTGCCTTAAACAAGTTTATAATCTTCAACAGATGAGAAAATGTAAACAACTGAAGAGATTATGTAGTCATAAAAGTTATTAAGAAAATAGTATAAATAATGCATAAGTTTTTAATAGAGTGCAATTGTTTTTTAATACTGGGGATTGAACCTATGGATATTCTACTACTGAGCTATATCCCCATCCCTTTTATTTTTTGAGATCTGGTCTTGCTAAGTTGCCTATGCTGGCCATGAACTTTGAATCCTCCTACCTCGCTCCACTGAGCAATGGGATTCATAGGCATGGACCCTCTGCACCCAGTTTAGTATGTTTTGTTTTGTTTTTTTAATTTTTTATTGTTGGTTGTTCAAAACATTACGTAGTTCTTGATATATCATATTTCACACTTTGATTCAAGTGGGTTTGTTTTGTTTTTAATCTAGGCTGCAAGTGAAACTTCTGAGATCTAACTCTGTCACTAACAGGATGCGTGACATTAGATATATCCTTTTAATAACTGTGTTTTTTGGGCTCTTCATCTATAAAAACTAGACAGATTCTAAATATTTCTTGAAATGTGTAAGAAAACTAGAGAATAGTTGGATATGTAAGATTTTGAATGGGCAGAGATGTGTCTAGAAAACACCCAAGGTGGGGGAAAAAACAGGACTTATATAGAGGGCATTAGGTTTTGAAATTTTGGTTGCATTTTCCCTGAAAATTTATGAAAGTGAAATAATAAGGTAAAAGTTAGGGAAGTATATATTTTTTCTCTTCAGGTATAGTTGTCTTACACATTCTACATGTGCATGGTAAACTCTTAGGAAATATTTTTAATGAGTGACCTTCCATGTTTGGGACTAATGAAACCAAATTATTTTGGGATATGTATTATTTTTATTGGTACAGAGAACAAGGAAAGGTGGGAAAGCTAATTTGTATTCGCATAAACACTTTCAGAAATCAAAATGTCGATCTTTGAAACTTAAGACGTTTCTACCTGATGGAGACAATTTTCAAGGTGGTTAAGACCTGGATAATGGTTAAGGTAGGGGTAAAAGACTGATAGTAAATAACTTCCCTATGCAAAGCACTGGCCAGGCTGGCCAAGGTAACTTCTTCAGACCATAAGGAAACTTCAAAAATAGGTAATGGTTGTGTAAATGTAAAAACTGAGGTTCGGACATTGAGATGACTTTCTCTACCACACAACTTAGTCATTGGCAGAGCCTGTTCAGGAGCTCAACTTCTTTCCATTAAGTCCCATCCATGCTGGAGTTTTTAGTTGCAACTTTAAACCATACATAAAAAAGGTTCATAGGAAGACGTTTACAAAGAACATATTACATGCATGTCTGACTCCAACTTTATGGACATACAAGTCCCAGGTGGTCCCATTGTTATTATGTTAATAACAGTATATTCTAAGTATGGCATATATTGAAATCTGTAAACTAGCTTCTTCCCTCCCTCACTCTGTCATGCTTTTCCAAGCTAGCATATCAATGTGTCCAAAATTTTGTTTCAGGTATCTATTTGTCAGATTTAACATACATTGATTCGGCATACCCATCAACTGGCAGCATTCTAGAAAATGAGCAAAGATCAAATTTAATGAATAACATCCTTCGAATAATTTCTGATTTACAGCAGTCCTGTGAATATGGTAAGTTTCTGGGGAACAGTTCTGTCTAAGCCCGTACTGTGCTGTGATTCCATTGATTCACTGACACATTGATGACCACTTCTCATGCAGCAGGGAGCATCAAGTTCTCATCTCCACTATAACATAAAGGAAAATAAGAGTTCTTTTGTTTGTTCATTTACTATGTAACCACTTCCATATTCACCCCAGCATTGAACCCAGGGATGCCTTACAAATGAGCTATTCCCCCTGTCCTTTTTAAGATTGTTCTTAAAGAATTGGAGAATTTAGTGTTTGATCTTTCATTTTTTAAATCTTTTTGCTTTTCTGCTAACAAAGCACAGGGGCAATAAGTAATATTACCACTTCACAGTTATTCTAGCCCTTTATGAAAATTCATAAAATTATTTTCTATTATCTTGATCTCATTTGCTCTCTGCAATCTATAAATAGTTGATATGTTTCCCAATTAGGAAAGTAGCTGAGACCATTGTTCCTAATAACAGTTAGGAACTGTTATTATTATTAGCTTTCTTAAGTCAGATATTGAGTAAACAAACAATTTTATTCAAGGTGTATTTTATGGAATGATGTAAGACAGACTAATAATAAATAAGCCTAAATGATTAGAAAAGAGAATTTTTAAAAAATGTTTGAATGTTTTTATTTTGATAGGGAATAAAGTTAGATTGTTGATGCATAATTTTTATGGTATTAAAAATAATGTGTCAGGCTGGGGCTGGGGCTGAGTGGTAAAGCACTGGCCTCGAATGTGTAATGCACTGGTTCCATCCTCAGCACTACATTAAAAAATAAGTAAAATAATAAAATTGTAAAAGTTTACATTATTTTATTTTAAATAAATGTGTTTTAAAGCTAACTTTGCATATATACATCTATACTTTTAAGAAAACCTCAAAAGCTTCTTAAAAGGGGTAGTGGATTGGAGAGAGGGTAATAGGATCTTACTGAAAGTGAAATGATCCTTTATTCTGTTCTTTTTCCCATTTTTGTTTTTAAACATAACACTACATTGTAATGTTAACTTAGTCTTACTTGAAATTTATAATGGGAGTGGGAGACACATTTATAAATGGAAGCCAAGTTTTTTAAAAAGAAAAATAACTGCCTTCACTTTGTGCATTGAGTTGAGGCATTATATGTAAAACAGTGAAGTCTCTGATTATTTTCCATGAAATTTCTCAAATATGTGGGGCTTTGTAATTGGAGCTGTTTTCTATGTAAGCAACGTGCACCTACAGCTTTCTAAATTATCTTCGGTACCTCCCACCCAAATTATCTTCAGTTTTATTTTAAATAAAGTTAATCTCAATAATGTCCTTCTAGAATTAATTTTAATTTTGATGCCATATGGACTTAGTTTACCTTTAATTATTTTTCTTAGCTTAATATTGAGAGTTCTCCTTAAGATATACTTTATCTGATAATTACTTATCACCTTTTGCCTAGATATTCCCATGTTGCCTCATGTTCAAAAATACCTGAACTCTGTTCAATATATAGAGGAACTACAAAAATTTGTGGAAGATGATAATTACAAGTAAGTTGATCTTCAGAATGGATTTGTACTTTGCCCTGTTCTCTACACTTCCATCCCCATCTATTTAAATATCTAAATCCCACAATCTAGTGGTATGTTAACAGTGGTAAAGGTGCTTATATTTCTTTTTAATCACTTGGTATGATTGAACCATTATACAAATACCTGATCTGTTCCTTTATTAAAAAGTATTTTATCCTTCTCAAGTTGTAGAGAGCTGAGGTTTAATAATTCAGATTTTCAATTTCTTCCTTTTGCTATCTTCAATCATTGAATCTTAATGGAAATTGATCTTTTAATAGAAAAATTAAACAGTCTACAAAATAGAAAAATCATTCCTTTTTTTTTAGATATTGTTAGGTGGACACAATATCTTTTTTTCCCCAATATTTTTAGTTGTAAATGGACACAATACCTTTATTTTGTTTAGTTTTTTTATGTGGTACTGGAGTTTGAACCCAGTGCCTCATGCATACTAGGCAAGCACTCTACCACTGAGCCACAACCCCAGCTCAACATAATACCTTTATTTTATTTTTATGTGGTGCTGAGGGTCAAACCCAAGTGTCTCATGCATGCTAGGCAAGCCACAACCCTACCCCCAAAAGACTCTTTTTAACAGTTATTTTTGGACACATCTTAGAGTTTGTTTCCAGTTTTCATGGATTGAGAGATTATTGAACCTTACCTCTAGATTATTGATGAGTTGCTCCAATATAGACCTTTTCTCTTTATCATTGCAAGTACTTTATGAAAACTTAAAAAACTCCCCTTGCAAAGACCTGATGCCTTTTCTTCTCTCCTTACCATCCACTGTGTTTCCCAAGGATGATTACACTTTTCAGTGATACAACTTTACATCATACCTGCTTTTTAAAGGATGGAAGGATTAAGAGCTTATGTCGATAGCGGCTTCTCATTTTTCCTTTAGCTTCATTTGTTAACTTGAATACATATATATTTTTTTTCCTTCTTTTTGCCTAGCTCTTTTTTTCTTTTTTAATTTTTCAATAGAGGCAGGATCCAGCTATATTGCCAAGGCTGTTTCTAAATTCCTGGCCTCAAGTGATCCTCCTGTCTCTTGAGTGGGACTGTAAGTGCACATCACTATGCCCAACCTTTGCTTAACTTCATTATGCTAGTTGTTTCAAAGCTTCCAAATTGAATTTCATGTCTTCCACATAAATTTTCACCAATTAAAGGTCATGTTTTTAAATTTTATCAAGTAAAATATGAGGGTTTTTTTTTTTTTTGGTTTTGTTTTGTTTTTGTTTTTAGTATTAATAAATATTTTTTTAACCTCTTTGAAAATCAGTGATTTTCAACTTCCTTGTTCTGTAGGTTTTAAGAATTTTAAAATTTCTATAGAACAGAATTAGTCCCATTGAAAGCTGAAATTCTGGGTATGTATTAAAAGTATCATTAATGCTCAGAAACACCTTTATTACCATCTTCCCCAACCCCTGTACACACACCATAATACTACTTTTTTTAGTCCCACACCAAATTTCATTTTACAAAAGGCTTTTTTACGTAGTAACTCATTTGAAAATATATGAGGTCAGTTTTTTAAGTCTGGAGTTTGTTTCACAAATCTGTTGTGCTAGGTTGTAAGTTTCTTGAGTTCAATCATCTGTGTCTTTTATTTTTTCCATCTCTCTTTCGTTACTAACATAGAACTTGTGCGTAATAAACACTTAACAATTTGTCCAATGAGCTGTAGAATAGTTGTCTTAAAACTGAAACTTTGAGGGCTGGGGATGTGGCTCAAGCGGTAGCGCGCTCGCCTGGCATGTGTGCGGCCCGGGTTCGATCCTCAGCACCACATACAAACAAAGATGTTGTGTCCGCTGATAACTAAAAAATTTAAATATTAAAAAAAAACTGAAACTTTGAGTATCTATTAAAATTTTCTATCTAAAGAAACCACTAGATTTTTAAAAAGTGGAAATGAATTCTCAGAAAATTTTGCACAGTTATAAAGATGGTAATTTTTTACTGACATCAGTAAAAGTGTGATATTTATTCAAATTTTTATTTTGTTGAAAAGACAGACTTAGCCATTGGCACTATTAAGTAGTTCTGACTGCCCAGAGCTGATGTGTATACCTTCATATTTATAGGAAGCCTGATGCTGTTAACTTTTGTTTTTATGAGTGACCAGAACCAGAACAGCCTTCTCATTATATGAATTTAACAAATATTGATGAAGCATTTGTTATGGTCTGATTACTATGTCAGTTGCTGGGATTATAAAGAAGGATGTTGTTCTTGCCCTCGAGAAGCTCAGTCTAATGCATCTAAAACAGATGATTTCAGAACATTGAAACAGTACTATAGTAGAGCTATGCCCAGGATGCTACAGCAGCATAGATAAGGGGACACCTGACCCAACTTTAAAAGAAAAGTAAAGGGAATAGAAACATGGATAGCTGCAGGAGACAGTGTCACCTAAGGCTGCACTTAACAGGTGAGTGGCAGCACATGGAGGGACAAGAGGTACTCTAGGGATAGAATGAGCAGGAAGATGGGGCAAGAAACTGTTTGCTTAGGGAACTCAGGTCATTTGGTGGTGTTGGGACATCATATGAGAGACCGGAGAAAGGTACATTGTTTTTCTGAAAATCAAATTATATTGCATCAGCTTACTAATTAAATGTTGAGAGTTAAGAGAATTTTAAGAGCCATTAAAATTATTAGTTAAAAATGATTTTTATGATGGAGTATATTTAAGTAAAAATGACTTCATTTACTTAAAGACCTTTGTTTTTCACTACTTCATCTAAATAGCCAGTGTAAGTATACAGATTACATACATATATCTTTTAGTCAGGGTGAAAATCTGTTTAATTTTAATACCAGGCTTTATCTTTTCTTGATGAATTGGCATCACTTAGTTTATGGTGCTTTGATGATATTATAAGCAACAGAGTAGCAGTCACTACTGTGGCCTTTAAGATGCTTCTGCTTTGTATACAGCTGTCATTTATCAGCTCCTACAGATAACAGTGTGATTCGCCAGGAAGCTCCCCTTTGTTCTTTCTGTTCTGGCACTGGGTTAGGAAATTGTGGTTGTTTTGTTTACTTCTTTGTCTTTCACTTACTGTACTGTAAGCTTCAGAGGGCAGGGATACCACATCTGCCTTCTCCCTTTTACATAATACTGCTGAGCACAGTGCCTAACACAAAGCAGGTGTTCAGTAAATATTTGTCAGATGAGTGAATACAGTATAGTTTGTACCTGAATAAACAAACTACCCTAAGAAAAGAAAAGGAGCTGAGAGTTCTGGTTAATCATTCATCTAATTATTATGTTCATTTTACATTGTCAGATATTTGGAATATAATCATATTTAATTCCCTCCCAGGTTATCAAGGAAATAATTACTTAAAATAAGAGCCTACATTAGATTTGTTTATCATTGTGAAATTCCAATCAATAGAATCTAAATAGTCTTTATTCATTTTCAAAGTCTTAGTAATATTAGACTTCATTTATTATAACAAAGCATTTTCTACCATTTTTGGTATTCTGTTTCCCAAAATTGCCTCCACTGATAGAAATCATAACTTCTTCTGCTATGAAATTCAAAACTGGATATATTATCCTAAGTAGAATTCAAAGACATAAAAGGGTTGGGATTATGGCTCAGTGGTAGAGCCTAGAATGTGTGAGGGCCCTGAGTTCAAGCCTCAGCACCACATAAAAAGATAAGTAAATAAAATTATTGTGTCCATCTATAACTAAAAAAATATTTTTAAGACAAAGACTAATAAGAAACTTTATTTAGGACATGGACTTACTAGTAATTTTGCAAACAGCCTTTTTCTTTGTATATTCTTTTGATAAGTTGATGCTAGAAATAATTTGCATCATATATTAAATACTACATGTGAAGATTCTTAATTTAGTGGCACCTTTGGGATGTTAGGGAGACATTTGTGTTTTTAAATATAACATATCGTGGCTGTCATTGTAGCTCAGTGGTAGAATGCTTGCTGAGCTTGTGTGAGGCACTGAGTTTGATCCTCAGCACCACATAAAATAAATAAATAGATAAATAAGTAAATAAAGGTATTAAATCCATTTATAACTAAATTTTTTTAAATTATAAAAATATATATGCATATATATGTATATAACATTTTAATGTTTTTCTTCTCCCTAATATTTCCTGGAATAACTGTAATATAGCTTTGGATGAGAGAGATAGGAGTCTAACATCTTAGTTTAGGGTTGCTCTGGAAGAAAAATATGTAGCTCAGACAAATTTATAAAAACATTTTTAGAGGGCTGGGGTTGTAGCTCAGTGGTAGAGCATGTGTGAGACACTAGGTTTGATTCTCAGCACCGCATATAAATAAATAAAATAAAGATCCATTGACAACTGAAAAATATTTTTTAAAAATTGTTTTTTAAGTTTTCTTATGGGAAAATATATTCATATTATGTTGTCAAATGTTAATCATTCCATGTGTTTTGTGTTTTTAAAATTCAGGCTCTCATTGAAGATAGAACCAGGTACAAGCACACCACGTTCTGCTGCTTCCAGGGAAGACTTAGTAGGTTAGTGTGTTGCTTTCTGTCTTTACCAAATAATAAATCAGAATACTTGATAGGAAAGAATAAACCCCAAAGCAAATAAATACTTAGCAATCTTGTAATGCATGAGGGAAAAAAATGCTTTTGGTAATAAAACCCATCAGTCTTTTCTTGTCATTTTTTTTTCCCTTGTTTTTTTTTTTTAATTAAAAAGTTACTTGTATTTTGTCAGTAATACACAAATAAATGTTACATAATCAAGAAAAACAGATACAACAGAAAAAAATAGACAAGAATTTAAGAATATAATATTCTTTTTTTAATTGTTTTTTTAAGTTTACTTGATTACTGGGCCAAGTACCCAAATATAAAAATCCGTCCCTACTTTACCTGTTGCCTTACAATAGGGATATTATTGATACCACAAATAATTTTTTAAAAACATTAAACCACTCACTATTAAGAAATAATTAATAAGAGCCTTTTGTTTGGAGGTGGGGGGGATTCTGGGAGTTGAACCCAAAGCTTTATACCTCCTAGGCAAACACTCCACTTCTGAGCTTTGTCCCCAGCCTGATAAGTACCTTTTTAAGAATTGCCAGTGCAGTCCTTCATACAAGCTTTCTGTTGTGTATTCTAAGAATATTCGAAGTCCCATCTAACATGATGTGAAGAAGTAAGGGAACAAGTTGTGATAGTATCTGGGAGAGAGCACAATCAGTTTGATCTCTTAAATTTGCTTTTTTTTTAATACTTATTTTTTAGTTGTAGTTGGACACAATACCTTTATTTTATTTATTTTTATGTGGTGCTGAGGATCGAACCCAGGGCCTCACACTTTGCTAGATGAGTGCTCTACCACTGAGCCATAACCCCAGCTCTTAAATTTGCTTCTTTAAATTCCTTTCTTAAAAAATTTTACTCATGCATTATAATTATATTTAATAGCAGATTTATTGTGCCGTATTTGAATATATACATAATTCCCTCAATCTCCTTCCCCAGGACCTTCCTTTTCCCTCCCTTCTTTTCTGCCCCTGCCCACCCACTTGTTCTGCTGATCTCCCTTCTATTGTTTTTTATTTCTTTTAATTCTTAAAGTAATATTTCGGAGATCTGTGTGCTTCTGAGTAGTTTTTTATTCCCGTAAACTCAAGCAAAGTGTCAATGAAGGAGTATAATTTCTAACTTGAATGCATTCTAAGAGGAAACTGAAACAATGAGCAAAGAAGCAATGTATAAAAATAAAAAGCACTGAACCTGGGACTCAAGACCTGGGCATTAAGTGCAGATTTTGTCTCTGAGGTGAGATTCCAATCTAATCTCTTCTAATTCTGCTTCTTGCATTGTAAGTGGAGGAATTATTTACACTGCCTCTACTTAGTCCAAGCAAGATGGAAACTAATGGATTTTTATATGGTTTGTGATTCCATGTTTTAGAATTTAGAAAATAAATATTTCTCATGTTCAAGTCAGTATAGAACTAAAATTATATTAAAATTTATATCTCTGTTTATAAACCAAGGGAATAAAAATAAAGTAATCCTTTGAAACTATTTGAAAATATGAAAATTTCCTCCCCCTCTCTCTTTTAATTGAACCCGTAGGTCCTGAAGTAGGAGCATCACCCCAGAGTGGAAGAAAAAGTGTAGCTGCTGAGGGAGCCTTGCTGCCACAGACACCCCCCTCCCCCCGGAATCTGATTCCACATGGACACAGGAAGTGCCACAGCTTGGGTTATAAGTCAGCATTCTTTATCTTATCTTTCAATTTTTTAAGTTATTTATAGTTGAATTTATTTCCTATTTATTAGTGGAACAGAAAATAATGTCCTTGCATAGTTTTTGGGTTATGGGTTTTTTTGTTTTAATAATACTAGTCTTTCTGATTAAATAAAATATCTTATTTGTCTAAAATAATTTATTTCTTCCATTACCTGAGTTTGGAAATTATCTGTCCCCAACAGTCCCTATATTTTTTTAATATTTTTTTAGTTGTAGATGGACATTATATATTATTTATTTATTTTTATGTGGTGCTGAGGATCGAACCCAGTGCCTCACTCATGTGAGGCAGGCACTGTACCACTGAGCTACTGCCCCAGCCCCCAGTCCCTGCATCTTTGAAGGAGGTGAATGATCATTACAAAGAGCCATCATAAATAAAACTGAGATAGGAGTGTGCCATTAAATCATAATCTTTGTATCACAACAGTTCTTGTTTTGTCTTAACTAAAATAAATAATAAGGTCTAAAAAATTATTCCTAAATACACACAAAGGGAAAATAATTTTTTCTTTGACTTCATTCGTTTTGCAATATTGTTTTTCCAAAAAGGGGACCATGTTCACCTCTGCCATGGTTTTTGTGAAAATTGAATAACTTTTCCCTAAAAATGTTTAACAATTTAATGTACCTTAGGCTCAAGATGGAATTGAAGTATTTTCTAATTATATAGGTAGATATGTCTAGGTTTCCTAAAAAGAAAATTTTTCCTAAACTGTTAGTTTGTAGCTTTTGTGGTAGTATCTGTGCTCATTACTATGAGAGTTCAGAAATAAGTTCAGGATAACGGGTAAGTCTTGTATGTCCTGAATCTTTACATAAAAGTATTTTTTATATCCTGGATTGGTAACCTAGTAAAAGTTGTGAAATTTTTCTCTTTGTTTCCAGTTTTATCCATAAAATGAACACAGCAGAATTTAAGAGTGCAACGTTCCCAAATGCAGGGCCAAGACATCTGTTAGATGATAGTGTCATGGAGCCCCATGCACCATCTCGAGGCCAAGCTGAAAGTTCTACTCTTTCTAGTGGAATATCAATAGGTAAGAAATATTTCTCTAAAAGGTTTCCAAAGTATATAAAATGAGAATTTAAATAAATTTTAGCTGTAATAAAATTCATTAACACTACCATAAGTAGAGAAAATTTGATTTTAAAAAAAAGTAGCAATTATATACAGGATAAAGGCCATATAATTTGTGATGGTTTTTAAAGTACTGTTTTAGTCCACAAGGGGATGTACTTGAACACTGGTGGGAAAAGAACATAACTGGCTGGATTGGTGAACTGCGTGTGGTTTGTGTTTGGGAATGAAGATGAGGGTAAAATCAAGATGATTCCAAGTTATTCAAATTAAGCAACTGCTTAGATGTTGGTGCTCTTACTAAGGTAGAGAGGACTGGAAGAGCAATCATTTGTAGGTAGTGAGGTGCTTGTGTAGCATGGCCCATTTGGGGGAATCATGAATGATTTGGGACATGTTTAGTTTGTGTAGTGTCAGGTTGTTGAACTACAAATCTGGAGCTCAGTAGTAGTAATGTTGTTTCTGGTGATAGAAGTATGAGAGTTAGTGTATATACAGTATTTCAAGCCATGAAACTTGTTGAGTTCAGTTCACCCAGGGAGAGAGTATAAATAAGAACATTCTTACATTAGGAGGTTAATTGTTTTTTTAATGAAAAATTAACTGTCAAAGGAAACTATGAAGGGGAGATCAATGAAGCAGGGAAAAAAACAGTGTCTCACAGAAGAGTCAAGTGCTAATGTAGCAAATATCCAAAGCAAAAAGGAGAACTAAGATGGTGATGATAGTCAGCTTTCTGTCACTATACAAATACTTGAGATAAATCAACTTCTAAAGAGAAAGGTATATTTTGACTCACAGCATCGGAGATTTCAGTCCATGATCTATTGACCCTGTTGTTTTGGGCCTGTTGCAAGGCAGTACATAATGGCAGAAACACTTTGCAAGGCAAAACCATTCACCTCATGGCCAGAAGTAAACAAGACCAGGGTCCCACAGTCTGCCTTCAGGGCATGCCCCCAAGTGACCTGAAGACCTCCCACTAGTCCCCACCTCCTAAAGGCTGTATCACCTCCCAATAATGCCTAATGGAGACTAAGACTTAATATATGTACCTTTGGGGACATTCCACACCTATAATATAGCACATGAGAAAGGGGACTTGACCAGGGGGATTCATCAAGATAAAGGCATTGGCAACCTACAAGAGAATTGCTTCATAGAATGTGGAGGCAAAACCATGGTTGGAGTAGTAGATTTGAAAATGAGAAATAAGGAAACAGCTATTCTGAAGGACCCCAGGAAATGGGGACCACATTGGAAAATGATGTGAGGTTAAAAGAAGATCTGGTTTGTTTTTATTTCCTAAACATTTGTTGATCTTCTGAATCCTCTAACTGAACATTCTTTTTTCATAATTAGAAAATGTACCCATACTATGTTGTTACTATTTTTAAAAAGTAATAAAAGGGGAAAATGTCTTTCTCTCTGATTAGCTACCAGGTTGCTTGAGGGCTCAGCCTGTTATTGTTAATATGATCATCTCATTATTCATGAAAAGCCAATAGAAAGATGCAGATGGAGATTCATTTTCTTGCACATCATGACTTCCTTAGTCCTTCAAAGTTCCAAGCTCTGAAAAGGAAATTGCTTCAGAGCTCTCCAGCACCATTCACCACTTGTTTATCCAATGTTCCCTTTTTGATTAATGCCACTAATTAAATGACAAAATTTTTTTAATAAAAGACAGTTTTAGCACCTGAAATATCTCCTTATTAATGTTCTAAGTTGCTCATGTATAAATATATTTTAAAAATAATTTAAATATTTAAAAAATAATACACAAAATACTTTTGGAAAAAAAGATTTTTTTTGGACGTAAAAGCTAGAATTCAGTATGCCCCATAAAGCAAAAAAATAATTTTTAAAATTACTCCTGTCAGATACATACTATTTGACTTTTTCCCCATCAGACTCTCTTTTTGCCTTTATGGGATTTTTTTTTTTAATTTTTTAATTTTAGTTATTCCAAGATTGTTAAGTAGCTAAACATAAAAAATCATTCTTGTTTGTAAATTAAAGTTATATGGGCATTTTTCTTCCAAAATATTTTCTTTTTTAAAACAAAAGCTTTAGCTTTAACATGAAAAGGAGTAAGTCTGTTACCATAATAGGTATTAATAGGCATACAAAAAAGTGGAGGTTTTAGTTGTAAATTTTATATGCAATAATAGTCTATACCAGTGCGGAGACAACAGCCTCAAACCTTCTCTAATGTGGTGTATGTGTCCTGGATAACCTAAATATTCTTGTTTAGCTAAGGGAAAATGATCCACTCTGAGCTTTATGCTTCTGGAAAAGCTTACATTTTCTACAAATAAGCCATACTAATTATGTTTAAAAGTTTTCAATCTTGACTACATAATGCTGTAAATCAAAAAATAATCTACAAGATCCCACCATCACCACCACCATGTTACCTCTAGTTTCTCATCTTAGCCACATGATATAGAAATTTGTTTAGTGACCTCTGCCGCGCGACCAGCACGCTAGCTTCATACTAGAGGTTCCAAACATAGAAGTTAACTAGTGAGATCAAAATAAAGACACATAAAACTCAATTTACCTTTTTCTTGCCCAGCTAAGAGACGGCTTCTCCTGGCTCCTGCTTCAAGCCACCTGGCGCTAGCGAGGTTTACACAAGAGACCAGCAGGAGAGAGGAAGAAGCACACCAGAGAGTGGGCTTTTATTGGGGAACAAAAAATTCAGGGGAAAATTCCATCCAATGAAGGTCAAGGGGGACAGCATTCCAAGGTCAGGGTCAGTGATTAGTTTCCAGGTCAGTGGTCAGTCACACCCCCACACGGACAAGCCCTTGCACCTGGAAAGGGTGGGGAAGGCTCTGACACAGCTGGTCTGAGCGCCTCACACCCAGTCAGGGAGGTAGACCAATCACATGTGAGAACGGCTTCCCACAGTGATCTTTATCTCAATTCATCCAAAAATGATACGTAATTAACACATGCCAAATATGAGAGTTTAAGTCTCTTGTGGAACCTTGCTTGTAAAAGTTTGATGGACTACTCAACTTGCCATATTAATCATCTTAACTTTTAGAGTCAAAATTACTTTTAAATCAGTCTAAGCTATTGTGGATTCTTCAAATTCATTCCCTCTCAGGTTTTTTTCCAACTAATTTTGAAGTTTCTATTTGAATACCATTTTAACAAATATTCTGGCTAAAGAGGAAATTGTTACATTGTTATAGCACCAAATTTTTGTTTTTATTTTTAATTTAGCAATACTGTTATCTTCAACCTTGTTTCTAAAGACAAAGAAATGAATTTCATTAAGCTTTTTATCCTTTGGGTGGTATGAGTTTTGTTACAAAAAGAAATAAGTATGCCCTGAACTTTTTAGGATTTCATGATTATATTGGTCCTAACTTACGACAGACTTGTAAGAAAAACTTTGTCCTCTGCATTCTCTGATGTAGAGAAATTTGTTTCTTAACATATGAATTTGAACTATAAATAGGTATGCAAAAATATATTATGCTATTTTGTTGTTTTAGGTAGTCTTGTCAACTGCATTCTAATATGTTGCAAAGTAAATCTAGAGAATAAAGAATTACTATGTGGATGTTTACCCACAATGTGATTGTTGTTTTATAAGCACAGAGAATTTTATTTTTTAAATAAAAATCCAAGTTTGGAAAATAATTCTGATGTTTGAATAATAGAATAACTTTTGATTTTAGGTAGTAGTGATGGTTCTGAACTAAGTGAAGAGACCTCATGGCCTGCTTTTGAAAGGTAAAAGAAAATGTCCATTTGAACTGCTTTGAATTTATTTAAACTATCTTAAATAATATGATAATATTGGGCTGCAGTTGTGGCTCAGCAGTAGAGCGCTTGCCTTACACATGTGAGCCACTGGGTTCAATCCTCAGCACCACATACTTAAACAAAATAAAGGTGTTTTTTTTTTTTTAAGTATAATAATATGAATATCCCTAAAGGACTATTTAAGTTGCTTGTTGGTAAAAGAAACAAGAAGTTGGTATTTAAGTCTGAAATTGTAAGTAATGAGATTGATTGTTAATAGTTTTACATGTTTATTGGTATCTTTAGACATATTTGAATATTAAATACATTTAAAATTGAATAGTTTTTAATAATAATAAAATTTCAATAATAACCAGTTATAGTTATCTACTCATATATTCACTTGCACATTCAAAAAATAAAATTATTTCCTTAATTAAGTCTGTGTAATTTTAAGTAATACTAAGGCATTTAGTGTAATGGTCAACTTTATTCACTTTGTCAAGGGCACATTGACTTGGTAAATTTTAAATTGTACTATATATAAAACAGCTTGAAGTTTGAGTTCAAAATTTTAGAGAGTACAGAGTCTATAGTATTTGGTACTGCAATATCAGCTGTGCTCCCTTCTTTCCTTGTTGCTTTAAACTATAAAAACTGTCATCTATGTGGAGTAAATATGTTGTGTTGAACTTTAAATACAAGATTTCCCTGAGAATGTAGCCAGACAGTTTAATAGTTCAAGATTCTTACATATATCTGACCACTTCAGTATTACCATTCTCAGACTCACAGTCCATTTGACTCTTGACCAAAATAATTGCTCTATTTTGTATATAAACTATGCAGCTAAACTTCTAAGCAACATTTAAATTGTGTGTTACTGTCACAGGAAAACTGGAATTGAAAATATTAAATATTCCTTTAGGGATATTCGTATTATTATACTTTTTAAAAAAAAAAATACCTTTATGTGTTTACTTATTTAATTCCCTACCAGTGTCTTTTTCATAGAAAACAAATTAATTTTGAATTGATTAACTTCAGGCTTTTTATTTGGGAAATTAGATCCTTATTCCTGATGAAACTTCATAAAGATTTCTCATTATTACATGATAAGATTTTACTTATAAGCCCTATATTTCAAAATACTTGTTAATCTTTTCTTTTCTAATTATCAGTGTTCCCAAGTTGTGTTCTACTTTGGGAATTCTTTTTTTTTTTAATATTTATTTTTTAGTTGTAGTTGAACACAATAATACCTTTATTTTATTTATTTATTTTTATGTAGTGCTGAGGATCAAACCGAGGGCCTCACACATGCTAGGCGAGTGGTCTACCGCTGAGCCACAACCACAACCACAACCCTATTTTGGGAATTCTTAACAGTTTGGTTTTTTTTATTGTTTCTCTTCCCACTTTTACTTTTATTCTCTAAATTTGGGTTTGTCTGAAATGGCAAAAACACAAGAGTTGCCCTTGGTATGCTCTCTGAATTTGTACAAATTGTCTTTCCCTCTAGAAAGAGTATCTTGATTATAAAGTGTATTATTAATTTTTAGATAAAAAGTACTGAGTAAGCCAGGCATGGTGACACAAGCCTATAATCCCAGCAGCTCAGGAGGCTGAGACAGGAGGATCATGAGTTCACAGCCAGCCTCAGCAACTTAACAAGGCACTAAGGAACTCAGCGAGACCTTGTCTATAGATAAAAATACAAAAAAAAGTGGGGGGGGTGTTACTGGGAATGTGGCTTAGTGATTAAGCACCCCTGGGTTCAATCCCCAGTACCAAAAAAAAAAAAAAGGTAATGATTAAGAAAATTGTTTCTTAAAACATTGTTTGAGTTATAAGTGAGTACCCTAGGGTGATGGTGTTACTAAACCCTTCTCATCCCAGCAGGTTACCTATGAATGCAGTACTTAATGGTGTTACCTTCACATCTCAAAACATTTTTTCTTTTATAATACATGTTTTCCTTTGCAAAAATGTGCAGCTAAGCTGGGCATGGCAGCACACACCTGTAATCCCAGTGGCTTGGGAGGCTGAGGCAGGAGGATCACGAGTTCAAAGCCAGCCTCAGCAAAAATGAGGCACTAAGCAACTTAGTGAGACCCTGTCTCTAAATAAAAAAATTAAAAAAAAAAAAAAAGGTGCAGCTAAAAAAAAAAAAGTGACAGTTTTAACTCCTTTTGTCCCATTGTCCCAAATGTGAAATACCTATGGAAACTTAAATATAGTATATGATACAATTGCATAATTATAACAAGAAAAATATAATTAGATTATAATATATATAAGATCTAGATTATTATTTCTAACATTGTTTAATGCACTTATATCAATTTCACTGAAATAGAGAAAAAATGGAACTTAATGGGTTAAATTAGTGGCTCTTGGAACATTTTGTAACTGTAAAATGGGTGATGCCCAGCAAAATTCGGTCATGAAATAATAAGTGAATATAGAAATAAAATTTAAAACATTATGTGTGGATAGGGAACTTGAAAACAGTACCCTGAATTTTAGAATCATTTTCTGTTCTTATTTCCTATAGAGACATCAAATATGTTGTTGCTTAAGATACTAAAACTTTGTCTTTTGTTTTAAATATCATTTGTCATTAATGCTGCTTATAGCTTTTCCCAGGCAGAGTAGTATCAGTGTTTCAGTGTGTTTGTATTTATTTCCTTTGTTAAGTATGAGGTGGCATTTGGGATAAACACTAGCTCATTCTTTTTTTGTCATTTATTGACTTTGTCAATTGATGTAGAATTAAAATAATAAGAATAATATATTTATTCTTAAGTTTGTCTCCTTTCTTTTTTTCTTTGATTTACTATCAAGAATAAAGAGGTTTTCCTATTAGTTTTAAGTTTGCAAGCCACATTGCTTTTAGGTGTCTTCATAGGGACCATGTAATAAATATGAATTATGTAAATAAATCTGGGCATCATATTTAAACTGAAATCCAAGAAGTAGAATAGAAATAAGGATTTATGGAACATTGTTCAGGTTTTTATATTATTTGGCTATTTTTAATTCTTTTGGCAGATTTGCAAAAGTGAATGTATATGTAAATGTATAATATGTATTTCTAGAGTCAGTAAATGGTTTTAAAAAATCATGCTGCCTACTTTAAAAAAGAAAGAGGAATAATCATATACTGTCCTCTTGCAAGATTTAGAAAGCCTTGCAAGTTTTAGAAAGCTGTATTACATGAACAAGCTATTATACTATTCTAGGTGTTGATGATTATGTGAATGAAAGTATATGTAATACATACAATTTATAATGGAATCCAACAGGAACAGATTATACCATTCTCTCGGCCCGGTGACAAGAGTGGCACGAAATGGCTATCGAAGCCACATGAAGGCCAGCAGGTACAATTCCCCTGTACCTAGGGGTCACAGAAATCCCCTCTGGTGTTGGTGATTGGCATACATGGGTGTGGTCTGACATTATTTCTGTTCTTTCTCAACTAATTGGTTTTCAAGCTAAACAAATTGCCCATGAAAATTTTCTTTTTAAGATTGAATGTAGAGATAAATTTAAACCATTCTTTCTGATCCACAGAGCTAATTGCTAAAACTTGCATCTTTATGTCACATTTTTCTAAATTGTTTCCCAGTTGATAACCTTTTAACTGCACAGGTCTTTATAATGCTACTAGCTATTGGATGAGCAATTTAAAAAATCTGCTTGTTATTCTTCAGCTGCAATCAAAATGTTTACTTTGCTAATAATTTTACATTTGATTTGTCTTTTTTAAGAATTTTTTTTTTTCAGATAAACCACAGAACTTGAATTTAAACATGTCTGTTTCACTAAATACTATCTGTGTATTTCAACTCATATTCATTCAGTTCTTCATTTAGCTAAACTGGGCCTCTTTCTGCCCATATTAGCTATGGAAACAACTAAGGATGGGTCAGTGATTGGGATATGGGGGTGAGTTATGATAGGTAATCAACCAATTCAGAATACAGCAAGATAGCAAGCTTTAGGTCAATTCAATAGAATCTAATCTTCCTTGAATATAAGTACTCTAGCCGGAAGTTTCTGCTGGCTTCTAGGGTTTTTAAGTCACTTTGAAGACACCTAAATAATCATAAAGGAATAAACTGGGAAAACTTCTGTTTTCTTTGTTGTTGTAGTAATTCTGCATCTAATATCAAATCACCAATGACATTTTTATCAGTGTGTACATCTTAATTGATTCATGTAGAACTCAATTCTTTATATGTGGTATCTTGAATCAGTTGAAGAAAGATATTTAAATGTTGAATTATTTTGTGATCATTTTTAAAAAGATTTATGAAAAGGAAGTTTGGAGTTGGGGTTGTTCTTTTCTTGGAGAGCTGTTAGACCATAATCAAAAACCACTTATGCATTGGCAACATTTAAGTGTCATTAAAAGCCAGGTATTAAAAGCATATATCTGCAATCCCGGTGACTTGGGAGGCTGAGGTGAGAGGATTGCAAGTTTAACACCAGCCTGAGCAACTTAGCAAGACCATGTCTCAAAATATAAAAAAGAGGCTAGGGAAATATTTCAGTGGTAGAGCACCCTTGGATTCAAGCCCCAGTTGGATGGATGGATGGATGGATGGATGGACGGATAGATAGATAGATAGATAGATAGATAGATAGATAGATAGATAGAT